CATTTTTAAATATGATTATTCAATTTTATGTTTAATAGTCAAGAAAATTTTTAATTTTTCTATCATCATATGTTTAAAACAAAACAATTAGAATCATTCAAATTTAAGCTTTCACTTATCATTTGTCTGAAGCTCACAATAGCCACTTTTTTATGAATTATTAAAAAAGTATCATTATTTATTACTTCACAATTATTCAATCTTCATTATTCAATGTTCATCAATATTTTTAAATAAAGTCATTTGTACTGTCAAATAAATGATGAATTGTAACTCTGAAGAAACTTTTATCCAACTCTGAGATGAGAATCGTAACTAATAAGCTTTATTACTTGATCCATACAATCTCTATCAGTATTTAGAGAACTCAAAACATGCTTGTTCGAGTATGTTAACGAGTGTAAGAGATCGAGAAGTGTTTTGATGTCTAAAACAAAAGGATTAAATGATTATATATGTTATTGCAGTTTTGTAGAAGGTAATTGAATGAACTTGTATGTAATGTAACCCAACAAAGTCATTCTGAAGTTAAGAAAATACACGAAAGCATGAAAACGATTATAGAATTATAGTCAAAAGTTTGTTACTAGTGTTTACTAAAGACCATAACAATAGCAGTTATTCAAGATAGCAATAGAATAGCGATAACTATAAAAAATTCTGACTGTCCACTTTGTAAAAACATCTATCATCTGTGATGTATTTTTCGTAAATGTTAAATCTTAAAATTTAAGAAAAATGACATAAATGAAGATAACGTGAGGAAATTGACATCATGAAGGAAAATTTATGACATCAGGTTGTAACAATCTTTTATATGACAAGGAAATAATTATGACAGATGAAATTTAAATTAAAGTTGAAGTGATACATTTTTTTGTTATTTTTTCTGTGAAAGGGGATTTTAAAAATTCAATAATGTAATTGTTTGAATGAATTAAAAAATTCTAATTAATATAAAAGGAACATTGAATGTTGATTAATTAATTGCATTTAAAATAGATTGAAAATTAATTATATAGAAGACATCAAGTTAAAGCAAACTAAATAACTTTGTATTATATAGATTCTATATAACCGAAGTGGTACTTATAAAGTGTTATTTCTATCTTAAATGGCTACAGAACCTCGGATTTCTTTAATACTTTGCCATAAAAATTCTTTATTGTTAATATTGATACTCTATGAGGTGATATATTATATTTTCAATTTATTTCTATGGTTTCTTAAAGTAAATGTAATTTCTCTTAATGAATTTAATTACTCTCTTCTATTTCAAAATATTTCCTTCAATAAATCCATATTTTCTTCATTTTTATTTGATTTATTTGATTTAGAAATTTGTGTGTAATACTAAGTTAACATTGAATAAAAGATAAATACCAATTTCTAAGTAATTTGAAGTCTATCAATTTTCGTTACAAATTATACCGATAACAACCGAACATCGTTTCTATTCCCATGTCGATATTTACAGCTGAGAGATTCTGTGATAAAGCAATGTGTCCAATCAATTACAGTATATTGAGGGTTTTACTTGGACCTCAAAAGCCGCAAATATTTCGCTTCTCTAGTAAATATATCAAAGAGCTCTTAGCCGTTCGATAATTCTGCTGTGATAGTTATTGGTTGATTCATTAGTCAAAGAAATACTAATGGAGGATTCCTGGGTATTGCTGTTTACCTTTGTCGAAGATCAGATTTTTTCCTAGGAGAAATGGATTTGTGATTAAAGGAAATTCGGGATAACTCAGTGAAAAGAAAATCAGGGTATGAGAAGCCCAACAGAAAATTGAAGAAATTGCGACATGAGTGACATAACGTGTTGTAAGAAATTCATTGTAATGATGCTACTGGAAGGATAATGTAGACGATTAAAAAATGTTCAGTCTGTAAAAAAATGTGATAATGTTGTTGGTAATTTAATATTTATACAGATATTTATGCAGTTGTTTGTAATTTCAATATTTTATTGTTGTAAAATCATTATTACATTTGGTTTTTCTTTTTATAGATAATTTATGTATGAGAATGTTGAAATAATAGAACGAAAAGAAATGTAAAGTTAATTAAATTATGAATGAAATCTGTAAAATTTTGGTGTGTATGAAAGAATTATAGAACACGTCAATAGACATGGGTTAGAGAAACTTTTATTTTTTTGCAATTATAAATAGGAGTTTAAAAATATTTACTAACAAATAGAGTAATTATTTAGGTCACTAATGAATGAATAATGTTATATAATTGTTATATTTCTATGTTCTTATATGTGATTGATTAATTGATCGAAACTTTAAAAACTAATTATTTATTAAAATAATGTGTATGGAAAATAAGACATCGTGTAGAAGTGTAATAGATTAGTAAGGACATTTAAATGTCTAGCAGAGATATTTAAATCTCCAAAACATTGGAGCGTCAGTATTTGGTGCTTAAAAATTTTGAGGTCCTGCGGAATAGGGATCTGCATTGGTGTGGAAATAAAAAATTCAAAAAGTGACAGTGGACTCTAGCAGCCTAAGGGCGAGTGGATTGATTCTACACCATAGCAGATTAATTTTATTGTGGTCACACAGGTATGGACTGTGTACACAGGAGGACTGTATAAGCACTGCGTACAGTGCAATACGCGTTGAGCGCCCGCACTGGTGTAGAATTTATTCATTCGATTAAAGAATGCTGATTTTTCAATTATTTCTAAAATAAAGAAATTTTCTACTTCGAGACCAATGCAGATCACTTTTTCACGGGACCTGTTAATTGATTAAAGTTTTGGAATCGGACAATTCAATAAATTAAAATGTATAAGAAATAGATAAAAATTTTTTAGAATAGAGGAATTATAATAACAATGTCAATATATAATTAGAGATAAATAAATTTAAATATTCATAGTTTAAGAAAAAATATGTAAATGTAGAATTCTAATTATCTATTTTTTTTAACTTCGATATTGAATAGATTTATTAAAATTGAAAATTTAAAAAAATATATTTTTTTCTATCTGCTTTCATATTAATATTGTTCATACATTGATAAATTATTAATTTATTACCTTTCAATTAATAATCATTTAATTTTTTTATAGATAATTATGATTAAAAAAACAAAAAAAAAATACATCTAGCTGGACTCGAACCCGAGACGGCGAAAGTAATAACCGAGCGTGCTACCGCTGAGCTACGGGATCATCATGAATATGATTTCAAAAATTTATATTTCAATAATGATAAAAAGGTGGCTTGCCCATTAATTAAAGTACTTTTTTTATTTAATTGATATTCAAGTGCTAAAAAGCTGAAAAATAATAGAACATCCATTTTTTTTGTAATATGTTGAAACAAAGGAATATACTTCCGCTTCATTCACTCGGGTCGACTGCTTGTTGACGACTGCTGCCTGTTACATCGGCAGCTATCTTAAATTCACCCCTGCGACACCTGTGGTCGGAGTTCGTACTAAGGTGCTCAGGGTACGGCCTAAATGCCCTCTGTAAGCTTCTATAAGTGTCTGTATTCGCTGGTAAACGTATCGATTGCTTAAAATTTTATTCTAAACATCAACGTTCCGACTGAAAAGAAAATGCTGATATCACATTCGCTTTAAGAAGAACGTTTTCATCGATAAAGCGAGCGACTGTTCAATTATTAACATCCCAGTGGAAAGTTATAGAAACGGGTCCGATTTTGCAAATGCCAAATTTTGACATATCTTCACGTTTTAAGGTCCCCAGAGTCGAATACGATCGTTTTCTAGTGGACGTCTACGTGTGTGTATGTACGTATGTGCGTACATTTGTTCAGAATTTTCCTGGTCGATTATCTCGAGAATAAAAAATGATATCGACGAAGGACCAATTGCATTCAACGTGTAATTATGTAACTTAGAACTGATTTTTAGCAAAATCTGTCCAGCTATTTTTTTTGCAGAACCGAAAAACTAGAAAAAATAGAAAATGACCTGAATTTTGCAATTTATACATTACATCATTTTTTAGATAAAATTCTCAAATCTTTAAAAAAATATGAATATTAAATGATTAGAATACTTGTATGAAAATATAATGACAATATTTCATCGAAAAAAAATTTTAAAAAACAAAATCAGCAATGAAAGAATTTTAAACTCGTGTTAGGATTGAGAAAACAGCATTAAAGACATTATAATAATCAATAGTAATTGTTAATAATATGGAATTGTGTACATAACAATTGAACATTGTTACCTACAAATGATTATTGATCATGGTAATATTCAAATAAAAAATTTTTAATTGTTATAAACAACAAAAATAGGGACCCTTTCTATCTACATGAGTACTTTTAACGCATAATTTTTTCTTTTACTTAAAAAATGTTACCAACCGTATGACATAAATAAAAACATACTTTTTCCGTTTAAAACAATAAAATTTGTTATAAATAATAAAAACAAGGATCTATGAGGTATATCTGAATTCTTCTAATGCACAATTTCTTCTTTTACTGAAATAAAGTAACTAATTATATCAAATGAATAAAAACAGACTCATTTTGTTTATAACAATTCCATTTTTTATAAAGAACGGAAAACAAGATCTATGCATCATATTTGTGTTCTATTAACGTGTAATTTTTTCTTTTACTAAAAAAAAGCTACCAACCGTATGACATAAATAGAAACTTACTCTTTTCCTTTATAACAATTAAATTCATTATATACTGACATTTGATTTTGTTCTGATTAAATAAGTCTTTTCAAATATAGAATCTAACGGAGCACATAAAAAGTAATATATTATATCACCGTATATTTCTATCAGAAATCTATTTAAATTCATGTGTATTAGCTGAAAACTACAAAGAAACTGACCATTCTAACGCTTTTATCTTTAACTGATAACACTGAAATTGTTACTTAATTTTTTTAACGATGAACGAGATTATCAAAACTTATTCTTAAAACTTTCCGGAGAGAATAAGCATGTATTACAGGATAAATGATTAGTTGATTCTTACTTATAGACATTGTTGTGATATTCGTTGTAACTTGCATAAGCTAAGAGAACCCCGAAGCCAGGTCCCAATGAAAAGAAAACTTGTGTTGCAGCATCCACCCAAACCTAGCAACAATAATAAAATTTATTTTGATAATCATTCTACGATAAACATATTTTACGATGGTAATATCTGCTTATAGAATCTATATTGTGAAAGAATGATAATCTTATAACATAAATTTTTAAATGATAAGATATATTATCTGAAAATGAGATAAATCCGTCATATATTAACAATACAAGTACTGATGCTCGAAGAGCCTTCTCTTGATAAAATAGATAGAGGTTTGTTTCCATGCTGAATCACCGGCTTCCGATTGTATTGTTTTATCGTCTTAACTTACGACAGTTGGTATAGCCGTTTAGTTCATGACAGTTTGTCTTTGAATATAACTGACCGAGCTTATGCGGAAGGTTTTTCTCGCTAATATAAAAAAACCTGTTTATCCGTTAAGTTATGGGCAGTCGGTACTTTTTTCGTTCTCCGGTAGATTCGCTATTTTGTTTGGTGAAATGTGTCTGTTTAATTGATTAAATAAGCTGATACTCAGCCGATACTCAGTTATTTTATGTTCAAAATGCACACTTGAATAACGTAGTATATGGGATCGAACATTTTATTGTGCTTTATCTAATTAACCCTTTGAGTCATGCTATTTTCTACTGCATATTCTGACCTGAAAATATGTAGTCAGTAATTTTTGGAGTCGCTGATCACGAATCTGAGGTTACATTTTTATAATTTTTAAATCAAAAACGGCGGACCACATTTGTGAACTTCAATCAAATTTCACTAAAATTGGTATGCAGAGGTTTTTAGGGATGCTGATCATAAATATGAGCTTAGATTTGTAAAATTCGAGATGGCAAATCCAAAGAGGCGGCTTAAATTTTGTGCAATTGAATCGTTAAGACCTATCGATCAGATATAATTCCGCTATCTCGGATCCGCCATTTCGAATTTTACGAATATAACGTTAGTTTTGTGATCTACGAACCTGAAAGCCCTCGTGTACAAATATTCAGACCAAATTATGCAGTGAAATGAGGTTTGTCGGTTAGTCTCAAATATAAGTTCAATTTCACATATTATGCCCACAATCTCAGATCTGCTATTTTGAATTCTATCAATATAACCTTAGATTCATGTTTAGCGACCCTAAAAACCCTCAAGTACAAAAATTCAGACTAAAATGTGCAGTAGAACATTTTTGACAGTGGTTTAAATAAGTGGTGTTCTGACAGTACCACTGTGACTCAAAGGGTTGAAGAGTATCCAATCATTTTTGGTGAAACCGGATATATGATATGCAAACTGTTGAGAATTAATCAGGAAGTTCGACGGCCATCTTGGCACTAGGTCGATAACTAATCAACCAAATAATCAATACTTCTAATTCTCGTCTCTCATTTTACTAATTTTTAGTCTCCTTCTTGACCAAGTTCCTGTCGCCATTTTTTTCCTGTTCACGTTCACGTGTACACGACATTTCTATTTTGTTCTCTAAAATCTATCTTTTGCGAGTCAATCATTAGTTGTAATGCATTTCTGAACCTTAAAGATCATTCATATTCTCATTCTATAACCAAATCAAGCAGTATTTTGATGAGACGATTTACAGTAAATCTACTCAAATGCCATTCAGTACCCCCACAAATCGTGAGATGCATCGAACATCTGATGCCGCTCTGGATGACACGTTTCACCGTAACATCTAGTGAAACGAGAGTGTCTACCAGAGCAGTGCTATTTAAGAAAGGCGTACACCAGGGAGATACCCTGAGTCCTCTTTTATTTTGCATCTCACTGCTGCCATTATCTGTCACTCTACGCCAAACGCCTAGATACAAAGCCGGACGAGTCTCCAACCGCGTACACAAAGTCACACATCTATTTCATACAGATAACTCAAAAGTGTACGCGGAAAGTCCTGAGAGACTTCGAACAGCTCCAGAGGTTGTGTCCAAGTATACCAGTACAATCGCGCAGTAGCTCACTTTATAAAAAGAAGATCGCACAACTGGAGTGATAATGTTGAGCTTACAGACGGGAGCATCATAAAATATCTGGATGTTGGAGAGTCATACCGATATCTTGGATAGCCACAATCTCCTTTACAGAACTTGTCCCTCATCGAAGATACTCTCCGCAGTGAGTACAAGTGGCGACTTAAGAGAATATGGGGCTCTGAACTATCAGGGCCTAACAAAGTCGCAGCTACGAATATGCTCGCTCTCCCAGTCTTGCTATACTTATTCGAAGTTCTCAAATGGCTCGGAAAACAGCTTAAAGATCTGGAAATTATCCCGAGAAAAGTAATGACATTACATTGAAGTATCACCCGCGATCTTCTGTCCAACGCCTATACTTTCCCTGTGATCTTGGAGGGCGTGGACTGCTAAGTTTGGAGTGTCAACGTGACAGGTTAGTGATAGGCGAGGCTTATGACATCTATGAAAGCTCTGATCCGCTTCTCAAGCCCGTGAACAACTCCGAACTGTTGGGAAGGGATGCGTTCGACTCTAGCAGCCCAGACAGTCCGAAGCTTTTATGATTGACCAGAGGGCAGCGAAAGGTCGATATAAAAACAACAGTTTTAACTGCTCGACGAACATGTGGCAAAGTCTTTACATGTTGTGTTTTATCGTCATCTTGAAACAAAGGACTTGTCACACCAGCTGACTTTTTAATATCATAAGTCAGCTGGCTTGTTCTCTGAGACCGAAGGATTCATTATGGCCTGCCAAGATGGTATATTTTCCACCCTCGCCTATCGGCGTGATGTTATGTGCAAGCAACTCGAGGACGCAAGATACCGAGTTCGCCACGGTGATGTAGATGAGATGCTATTTCATGTGCTATAGGCTTGTCCAATATAAGCGCGCTCAGCCTACATTCACCGGCGTAACGCCACCCTAAGAGTGCTGTATTACCACCTTCGGCACTCTTATGGAATAGACGAGACACCAGTGCTGCCCTATGTGCCCGGTGTAATTGAATAAGTCATTGAGAACCGGAGAGCGAAAATTCTTTGGAATTTCCTGTTCTCGACGCCTCAACGCATTGAACACAATAAACCGGATATCACTCTCTTCGACCATACCACCGAGCACGTATATTACGTTGAGTTCTCAGCCCCGGCTGAGACGAATGTACGTGCGAGAGTAAACAGGAACGCTAGAGAGATCTCATGGAGGCTATGAGAAATGTCTATCACGAATACACAGCGCACGTGACAGTCCTGATGATTAGCTCCCTCGAAGGGATGAAGGATCGCTTTCTGACAGAGCTTCGAACGTTACAAGTCTGCTGTAGTCAGGCTGAGATTTTCGTGGCTCATATGCAAAAAGCGGTCTTCCTCGGGTCTCTCCGTATCCTGAGATGACTATAAATAATAACTAAACGGCTGCAGCTCTGGCTTACCCCCAAACCTGAGGAGTTCGGGTGTCTACAGGATAATTCAGTCTGGTCAGGCCCAAGGTGGATCGGAGCCCTGGGATCCCTGGCCAGACATCTTTGACGAACCGAAAGAAGATAATTATAATTTAGAACTCCATAGTTTAAAAAATAGTTCAAATAATTTGGTTGAATCGGTCTCAACTTCTTCAGTTGATAATAGTTCGTTAGCTTTTGCAAAATCGGGTAAATTTGATGGTTCTCAGACGTAGGAATCTTATTTCCGTCAATTTCAGACTATATCTCATCTACATAAGTGTTTCTCAACTTACAAAGTTGTTTTAATTTATAAAATTGATTCTTTTCCGAATAAACTTCCAGAGTTTGTTCTAGATCTGTTTGACCGATCTTTAAAATTTTTGGATGACAATGATAAACTTTGTTTAAAGATTATTATTGAAGAATTAAAATATTTGTGCAAGAAATTTTTTTGGTTTAGGAAAGTGCAACGTTTTACAGCATAAAATTGATGTTGGTGATACACTTTCAATTAAAAAGGCTCTTCGTCGTTTTCCTTTACATTTTACGAATAAAGTTGATCCCGTTATGGAGGAAGTGAAACAACAGAATGTAATAGAACCTTGTAATGGTCCTTAGGCTTCTCCTGTTGTTTTTGTCGAAAAAAAAGTTATGAAATTAAATTTTGTGTTGACTATTGTAAATTCAACAATGTCGCAGTTAAGGATTCAACACCAATTCCACATCATGATAAATATGGTTCTGGGTGCTTAATGGTTTTCAACTATTGATTTAAAATGTGGATATTGGCAAGTTAAAGTGGACAAATCAAATCGATTTTGATGTCCTGTTTAAGGAACAGAGCTCAAGTTATTTTCGAAAATTTGGGTTTAGAAGATTTCGGGAATTAAAAAAAAATTAAAGTCGCAATTATCTCTTCGTTCGGAGAGAATTGAGTCGCTTAAATGAGCAACTCAGAGAACTTTACAGCTTGAGTCAATTAACGATTTGACCTTCGGAGGTCAGAATAAAACTATTTCAACAATAATTTCAACAAAGATAAAATTTACAATGATGATAATGTGTCATTGTTGACTTTCTCTGGATTCCTAATTTCTGTCAAATTCTGGGTTTTTGTAACTTTTAGTCTAAAAACGTTGGCTTTCATTGATCATTTGATTATTGATTTAAATTCACAATGTCTGTCCTGGAGCGCTTTCGTGGAGTCACATTAAGATATACACGCTTGGATTCATTGTATCGGAGTCCTTTTCTTTATATATTGGCCAAAGTAAAGCAAAGTGGAGTACTAGATGTCCATGGTATCCTATTATTCTCGTTCGGATAGTTTGCATAACTGTGGGCCCAATTTGTGATAATTTAGTTTGCACAATGAGCAGAAGCTATTGAACGTATTTCTGACAATTCCTTGCGCAAGGTGGAATTGAATTGATTATTATAATGATGTTGAATCATTTATTTAAGAGTCGGATTTTATTTTAAAAAAAGGACGCGAAGTCCGAATTTATTCGGAAAATTGACTCCATGAAGTGTGACCTAATTCAACCTAATTATTATTATTAGACTAACAGACGATTAGTTTTTAAGGAATTTTTAATTGTATAGAATCACGTTAATAGTTCAACTT